CTCAGAATAAAATACATCTAGACGACCAATAAGGAGGATCTCTTGATTGGGGTCAAGGATCGGAGGTCTGGCGTGACACCTAGGCGATCATGCACATACTACGGTCTCCCGAGGGCAGCTCACAGAGATCGCTTCCTTCATATACAGGGCAGACCTCCGGCCAGGCCACTCGCCGCGTGTCGTGCCGGCTGGCCCGTTACAGTATAAAACATGGCATCTCCCTCTCTTCACTCCAGAGTGATGAATTAATCGCCCTAGTTCCTTCATTCGGTCCCTCAGCATCCTTTCAGTTTTACCTTCCAATCTTCTTCATGTGCCTTTCATTGGCGAACCTTAAAATGTCCATGCTAATTATGCAGTCGTAAGAGAAGTTGAACGCGATGTTTTGATGGATAAAGAACATGATAGCGATGTTCTCACAGCTTCGATATTTGGTTAGGAAGAAAAGTGTAGCGCCTCAGAAAACAACTTGAAAGCCTCTTTGCGAATTGTATGAGTGGTGTCATCTGCTATCATCCCCTGAATATAACCCTGGATAACCTAAGGTATTCACCGATAGCTAGTATCTACATTGTCCATGGGACTGGCGGTTGATGTTGGACCATCCTTCAGGACTCAGGCTCTCATGACTTCTGGGTAGGGAATCATTCTTTTAGCAGCATTTCCGAGACGCCTGGACAGACCCCACTATATATTTAGAAGGACTGACCCAGCAACATCGGGAACGGTGCAGGCAATTATGTTGTTGCGGAGAAATTCTTGCGGAAAATATCAGATTCTGACCGATACAGGTCGTGTCCCAGAGTATATTGTGAGAAAAAATCAGAATTGCACACATTATTATAACCCCGTTTGTAGAAGTGGTTCATATGTCACTGAGCGTGGGAGAGCAGTTCAAGAAAAAGGAGATGTTCAGGATCGTAGACAGGGGGGGAAGGGGTAAAATGGACTATTTGCCCCGTATCCAATGCCTGGGGGGGGNTCTCTTCGGGAAGAACTCAAACGAGCAGAGTCGTTTGGCATGGCACAACATCTTCTTCCGGTTAGGGTTGAAATCTTCATCGTCAGATGGATAACCCTTGCCCAGAGCACGAGATGAAAATTCCACGTTCGAAAGACATTTGCCAGTCAGCAGGGGGCACAGCCAATTCATTTCCTTATGACATTGGTAGACACTTGGCGGAGTAGAATATGCTTCGTAGCCAGGAGGTAAGTGACGATGTCGCGGGCGAATGGTTTCACTCGATTCGCTGGTGATGAAGAAGGTCTTCAAACTGCATTTCCCTCGGCAAAATGCACAGCATACGATGAGTTTTGATAATTCTTCCAAGTTGTCGTGTACCTTCGATGCGGCCTTGGGATCGACGTCGAGATAGAATCCCCATCTGACGAGCTCGTCCACATTCACGTAACCAGCTATTGCAGAAACACAGTTGAAAGTCTTCCTGCGTTTGTTCTCAGTGAACAACGCGAGGGCGAAATTATTGTTGGGCTTGACATGCGCAGCGTCAGTGCTATCACCTTCCATCTTCTCGACTGAATGAAAGTGACACCAGGATACTCGAATCTTGTACATTTTCTTTTCCAACATACACGTTGCTCTCTTCCGCAACTCAAGGTTAATGACCGTGAGGGTGGGTTGTGTAAAAATAGAGCGACGGAAAAAGGGGGCCAGCACGCTCAATCTGTCATCGGGAGATAACGTGTCCATACACGTTGGCATAATGGAATCTTTCATCCGACCCTATTGACTTCCCTGATGCAAAACGGTAATGACGAGAGACAATTAAACTGGGATTTTATGATTCATGACATAATATTTACCAAATCGAAAAATCGCTCCATAAAGGTACATGGATAATGCAAATCATCGTGCAGCCGATAATTCAACGTTAATTCACCGAGTACTCACATAAATCAATGATATGCTGACGTTAAATCATATGAAAGTATGGTTATATAAGAAATAAGATATTGCGCCAGGCAGCGTCAGGCTGAGCCAGGCTTGCGCCTCCGGTCGATCCTATCCTTTTTATACTACTGCTAATAAACAATAGTACATACATAATCCGGTGTGGCCGGTCTCCCCCCCCCCCCAGGCATTGGATACGGGGCAAATAGTCCATTTTACCCCTTCCCCCCCTGTCTACGATCCTGAACATCTCCTTTTTCTTGAACTGCTCTCCCACGCTCAGTGACATATGAACCACTTCTACAAACGGGGTTATAATAATGTGTGCAATTCTGATTTTTTCTCACAATATACTCTGGGACACGACCTGTATCGGTCAGAATCTGATATTTTCCGCAAGAATTTCTCCGCAACAACATAATTGCCTGCACCGTTCCCGATGTTGCTGGGTCAGTCCTTCTAAATATATAGTGGGGTCTGTCCAGGCGTCTCGGAAATGCTGCTAAAAGAATGATTCCCTACCCAGAAGTCATGAGAGCCTGAGTCCTGAAGGATGGTCCAACATCAACCGCCAGTCCCATGGACAATGTAGATACTAGCTATCGGTGAATACCTTAGGTTATCCAGGGTTATATTCAGGGGATGATAGCAGATGACACCACTCATACAATTCGCAAAGAGGCTTTCAAGTTGTTTTCTGAGGCGCTACACTTTTCTTCCTAACCAAATATCGAAGCTGTGAGAACATCGCTATCATGTTCTTTATCCATCAAAACATCGCGTTCAACTTCTCTTACGACTGCATAATTAGCATGGACATTTTAAGGTTCGCCAATGAAAGGCACATGAAGAAGATTGGAAGGTAAAACTGAAAGGATGCTGAGGGACCGAATGAAGGAACTAGGGCGATTAATTCATCACTCTGGAGTGAAGAGAGGGAGATGCCATGTTTTATACTGTAACGGGCCAGCCGGCACGACACGCGGCGAGTGGCCTGGCCGGAGGTCTGCCCTGTATATGAAGGAAGCGATCTCTGTGAGCTGCCCTCGGGAGACCGTAGTATGTGCATGATCGCCTAGGTGTCACGCCAGACCTCCGATCCTTGACCCCAATCAAGAGATCCTCCTTATTGGTCGTCTAGATGTATTTTATTCTGAGCAGCCACTCTTTTCATTTCTTTCTGACACCTACAGACTAGGGGCAGCGCTACGTTTACATTTTAATGCAGTAATTCCGCTTCTAAGTGCCCAGAAGTGGTGGCCAGTGCCCTAGGATAACACGCATCTGAGGACTGAGGTCCTCCCCCTTCTCCTTCCATAGAAGGAGGAGGAGCTGAGTGGGGAGAGCTTATAACTCTCTTATCTTTCATTCCTTACTAGCGAGGAGTGTCATCCCCTCTTCGGATTCTCTCGGCGCCTTCAGGACTAGACCTAGACATTTCCCGTCCGTCCTATTCCAATATGTATGACTAGCCGTCCCGTGTAGGACTTCCACGTACTCTTCGGCAAGAAATCCCGAGTTCGTTCGGCATCCCTAAAACTCAGTGGGCCTCTCATCGCTATAGGCAGCAGTCTCTTTTTCCCATTATTCATGTGTTCCCACGTACAACTCTTATAGTCCCCTTTCATGCCGGTGAAGGGAAGATGACTTCCTGGTCGAGGTGAGATCTTCGCCCTTACATTTATCGGCACTTTTCTCTATTGATTGCAAACCTGTCCGCTTCGTACGTAACGACCACCTCCACCAATTTGCGTGCAAGCCTATGAGTGAAACTTACGCATATGGATACGGGATGGTAACGACCCAACCGGCGGCATCCTTGCGATCCAAGAATAAGCCATCCTGTTCTGTCCCACCCTGATGGGATCCCGCCGCTTTCACCCTCTTTCACTCTCCATCGCACGGAGGAAAACGGGATTCATTCTGTTAGCAAATGAAACTTTGGCGCAAGATGTGCGAATGTAATGCGAACCACTCCTGAATGGTTCCATCCGGCCGCCAGCTTAGTCAAGTTTGACATTTCTTGCCTAGGCTTAGCGAGTAAGATAGGGTCGCCAAAAAGGAATTGTGAGGCCTGAGGCAATTTAATGTAAAAGCCCCTTTCCACTCTCCCCCCCCCCCCCCCTCCCTGCCGTCTCAAATACACTCATTGGGTGTGTGAACTCTTCATTGCGAACGAAGGCTTCGCTAATAGTAGTATGAAAAGGGTAAGTTTGACCGGAGGCGCAATGGAGGCGCTGCCCGGAGCAATATCTTATTTATTATATAACCCTAATTTCATATGAATTAACCTCAGGTTATCATTGATTTACACGAGTACTCGGTGAATTAACGTTGAATTATCGAGTGGGCGATGATTTGCATTATCCATGTACCTTTATAAAGCAATTTTTCGATTTGAAAAACATTATGGCATGAATCTCGTTGCATAAAATCCCATTTCAATTGACTCTCGTCATTACGGCTTCACATCAAGGTAATCGATGGGGGTCGGATGGAAGGATCGATTACGCCAACGTGTTTGGACACAATTATCTCCTATGAGTAATGATTGTGGTGGTTTCTTCTGTCATGCTCTTCTGCTTTTACAGCCTCGGCCCCTGACGGTCAAGGACGTGATGGGGAGGGGAGTCGGGGAGAGTTCCCCATGATGTATTTATAGTTCTTTGCTCTTGTCTTCTCTTTTCCCTCACACTACACTGTTTACATCTAAGGCTCCTGACAATCATTAAGCATGAGTCGGAAGGGGGGGGGGGGGGGGGGGGGGACGTTATGTAA